CCACTGTAGGTTCTCTTTGAGTTAGTGGACTATAACTTTTAAAATACAAATTTTTGGTACGCTGGCCGAGTAGCTCAGCTGGTTAGAGCATCATCCCGATTCACCAAGGTTGTGGGTTCAATTCTCCAGTCAGGGCACATACAAGAATCAGCCAGTGAATGGAGAAATCAGTGGAACAACAAATTGATGTGTCTGTCTCTTTCATTCTCTCCCTTTCTCATCAATAAATAAAAATTTTTAAAAAATATATCAATTCTTGGTTTAGTTTTAAAGTCATGATAAACTTTCCCCCCAAATAGTACAGTATAAATACAAATGTAGAAACACCTATATAAATCTTGTATGATGACAGTTGGCCTCCACTGGTGTTTTCTCATTATATTTTATTTTGATATGCTCCTGGAATTAGTGGTCCAGTTCTTTCCTCTTGTTTGTATTTATGCATACATATATACACATCTCAGTAACAGAAGAATGAATTTTGGATTTATTTCTATTCAGAAATTACGTATGAAAACAATGTGCATTTTTCCAAATAGGATGAAACGAGGAGGAAGAGATAGTGATCACAGTTCATCAGAAGAAGATACTACAGAAAAATCCAAGAAGCCAAGGACTTCAAGCGAGCATTCTCAGACTTGTGATTGGGGTAATCTCCTTCAGGACATTATCCTCCAGGTGTTTAAATATTTGCCTCTTCTTGACCGGGCTCATGCTTCCCAAGTTTGCCGCAACTGGAATCAGGTGTTTCACATGCCTGACTTGTGGAGATGTTTTGAATTTGAACTGAATCAGCCAGCTACATCTTACTTGAAAGCTACACATCCAGAGCTGATCAAACAGATTATTAAAAGACATTCAAACCATCTACAATATGTCAGCTTCAAGGTAATATTACATTTTTCCTTTAAAAGATCAGATTTAGTGGACTTTGTATTCTAAATCAATACATCTTCCCATGGCTTTGAAATACTGCTTTTAGAAGTACTTAAAGAGTTAGAGTTATCATGCACCTTAAAAGCTGTAACAAATAATTATATTTGAACTTAATTGCTCCATTTTATTTATAATTATTAGTAAGTTCTTAAGAGCAGAAGTAACCACTAAGTAGCATAAATCATTGACCAAAGCTGTCAGTCACATTGAATTATTGCAAACAATTTCAGGAAAAAGAAATATACAATAAAATTTTTAAAATGTGGATATTATGATTGACTTATACTCAATTGTTATTTCTATCTAATAAGGACTAGGTTTGCTTATTGATAACTTTATGATATGAAGTCTTCAAAGAAAAGGGAGATACAGAAATTTTACGTGAAAGAATTAAGATGAATATATTTTAGAAAAAAATAGAAAAAGGTACATGGAAGAATGCCAAAAAGAACTTTTTGTTTCTTTTCATTGTGGGAAGGGACATCTTTGAAATTATGCAGTGATGAGATAAATGATGTGGGCATGGCTTTTTCAGATGTCCAGAATAGTTTAAGGAATCATGGTAGTTTTTATGAGTATAGAGGTTTGTATTGTTTTGTTTGGGGGGATATCTAAATGGACTATGGCCCTGTTTACTAAATTTGTAACACTGATGATAATTGTTGAAAAGCTAACACTTAAATACCTGATTGAGCTATATATACCAGTTATTAAACAGGTAAAGTTAAACCTAGAGTGGTGATTCTTAACCTAGAGCTCCTTACCAAGATGAAAGTCTGTCTTCTCCCAGGAATGTCATTCCTTCTTGGGTGATTACCAGCTTATGCGCCCATGTGTGTCCAAGGAGGAGGAGAGACCCGGTGGCGGGCATGGTTGGGTGTATTACGGCCTTCTTCCCAGAAGAACGCATCAAGGCACTTAGGCCACTGAGGGTGGGATTGCTAGGGTTAGCAGATAAAAATAGAGGGCACCTAGTTAGATTTGAGTTCAGATAATCAACAAATAATTTTTCTTGTAAATGTGTCCCTCGCATCATTTGGAACATACTTAATAATATTTATTCATTGGATATCTTTTATGTTATCCAGCAACCCTAACTGGCGGGAAGGATGGGGGAATGAATGGTGGAGGGTCAAACAGACAAAAGCCAGGAACTTCTTATGTGTTGTCCCTCTCCCACCTCCTTGTTTAGAAAACTCCAGAGCTTTCATTGGGTTTCATTCATCTTTGAGTTGTCTAAGAGTGTTCTAATGGTAAATCCTGTAAAAAGATGAGTATAATATGTTAATTTCATAGGTCAAAAGGCCAGTTCCATCCAGTGGATTGGCTGGGTCATTGTTAATCTGTTATAACTCTGTGACACAATTCAGTTATGTCCAACTTGTATAACCTTCACAAAGCCACTTGTCATTGTAAGTTTAAACATTTTTATTATGTTATTGTTTATTTTGCTGAGAAAATAATTCCTGATTTGCAAAGAGAGCTACATCACAGGATTTTTCTGAGCTCTCCTGAGAATAGTTATATTTAATTCATCACTGACTATAGGCCAAGGAGGAGTATAGTCAGTTATTAGTGTAGAGCAGTGGTTTCTCAACTTTGTGTGCATCAGAACTACCTAGAGTGCTTGTTGAGACAAAAATTTCTGGGTCCCGCACCCAAAGTTTCTGATGCAGATGGTCTGGATTGAGCATGAGAATTTGCATTTCCAACAAGTTTCCAGGTGATATTGATGCTGCTGGTCCAGGGACCACACTTTGTAAACCACTAGTATAGAGAAAACTTAGCCAAAGGATACTAACAAACAGCTCTGAAACTTTCATATAAATCAGTACAACAGTTTTACAACCAGCTCTTCAGAACATTTTGCGGTTAAGGTAATGTACATCAGTCTGGAATTAAAGTAATGATATTACTTTTACCTATTCCGGTTTAAGATGCTTTTTAGCTTAGGGAACAACTTCCTTCTTAGAAAAAGAGCTCTTGAGGAGTTTTGGCTTATTACCTTTATACCTGGACACTGTCTGCAGAAGAGTATATAGGAACAGCTGCTTCTCTTTGTTTCAGATTTTCATGCGTGACTAGTTGGAGGCCCTCGTTTTCTTTGGATTTGTTTTTTCATTATCATTAATGATGAATTCCTGGTTGTGATTTACTTGAACCTTCTGAGTAAATAGGCATTCAGTTTCTTGTGTCTTGAAACATGTATACCATAGACACTACTTATATGTATGGTTGGCTCCACTGTCAAATATATAATTATTTCCCAAATATAAATTTCTGCATTTCATTAGGTTGTATAGTCAGTTTGGAATAAATCAACTTAGAGTCAAGTTCTTTCAACATTAAATATATATCATCATAATAAAAGTTAAGTCTTGACAGTTACCCTTTAATTTTTCCAGGTGATTCAAAAGACTGATGTTATATGTGATGGTAAATGATTGAAAGAATAAATATTTAAATTATAATGCAGTAGACTAGTAACTATTAATCACTTTTGTGAAGTTAAGATATGCACAGAGTAATGTAAATATATCTGTGGGTTAATGGTGTTTTGTTTTCTAAGGTGGACAGCAGCAAAGAGTCAGCTGAAGCAGCTTGTGATATATTATCGCAACTTGTGAACTGCTCTTTAAAAACACTTGGACTTATTTCAACTGCTCGGCCAAGTTTTATGGATTTACCAAAGGTATCTTACTCTATGCGTGTGTGTGTGTGTGTGTGTGTGTGTGTACACACGCGTGTGTTTATTAGCTATTACTGAGAAATTCATTGAAACCCTACTCATTTCTTGTACTGTCCGTGGGAGTGTAAGAAAAGTAGTAGTAAGATAGAAAAAACTACTATTTAGAATGTTACAGGATTTTTTAAAGCTTTTTCTTGCGCTTCTACATGAGTGAGGTTGAACAGTGAATGAATTTGCAGAGGATTCTGCAGGAAAAAGACATACAGATGTGCCTTTTTGGACTTTCAGAGCAGATTGCTAAAATTGAAATAAAAAAAGTAGGCAGTTCCAGTATTGAAAGCTGGTATAGCTTACTTATAAAATCTTCTGGTAAGTGTGTAAAGATTTATTCTAAAGCAACATTAGTTTCAGTATAGCTTGGATCAGTTTACAGATTTTATTTAATGAAAACTTTTTTTGGTGAAGAGTTAAGGTGATTTATATTTATGATCTAAGATGATCTTACATGTAACTAGAAATAGTTTCTCATAACTCTGTTAAAACAGAACAGTAAGAACGGCGCAATTTTTAGAAAGACAATAAAGGCCCCTGAGTAGGTTAGCTAATGTTTAGTAGGTTAGAATCCGATGATAATTTGAAAGGTTTTTTTCAGAGTATGCCATGAACTAAAATGTAATATCCCTTTAAAACACTTAACAGTATAATTTACTAGGATGAATCAAGAAGTTTTACTAAGTTGAGTGTACATTATAACCAAGGCTGTTTAATGGAATATCAGTAACCACTTAAATACATCATCACCAGTTAGTGTCACAGTCTCAACTGATTTTTTAAAAAGATTCACTACATATATACCTTTGAGATAAAATGTTTTTTCCTCGTGTGTGAAATGAGGGAAAATGGGCACGAGAACCTCTGTTCATATCCGCATTGTAAGATTCTAAGTCCATGAATTGCATTACTATAGTTCTCAAACTTAATGTACGTAAAAATCATCCAAAGAACTTCTGAATTTTGTATTACGATTCCTATTTCAGATTTTCCCTTCTGGGGAGCAGTCTAGTCCTAAGGTGAATCAGGGACCTCACACTCCAAGAAGCTCTTGGTAGCCTGTTCAAGTATCATGTGGGAAATGAAATGTTTCAAATTGATTTTTTTTATGTACGTGCCATAGTTAAAAAAACAAATATATGTAAAGCATATGTATAACATATACCATATTAAAAGGTATGTTGAACATAAGTTCCTTTTCTAATTACTCAGGACTACCATTATGCATAACTAGTACTAGGACTGTACTTATATGTAGTAGGTTTATCTTTGGGAACTATTGATGTATCTAGGACTGCCTCTTTCCTTACTAAATGGGCCTAGGGTGCTCACTTTGGCAGCACATATACTCAAATTGGAATGATCCAGAGAAGATTAGCACAGCCCCTATGAAGGGATGACACGCAAGTATGCGTAGTATTCCATATTATTTATCATAGAAATGTACACTTGAAACCTCTATGACCCTATTAACCAATGTCATCTCAGTAAATTTAATACAATTAGAACACATTTATAAATATAAAATAATTAGGCCTAGGATGCTTATACTGTTTTTCTTTTTTTATTTCCCTGTTACGGCTTTTGTAGAGATTGAAATAGGGTGTTGCTTTATTTTGGAAATCCTGTGAGAACCGAAGGGAACATGAAAGAAGTGTATTTGACCAGAGCTGAATCTGAGGGGGACGGGAAATGAAGGCAGTCGTGCAGTCATGAGTACACTGATGGAGAAATGTGGGTGTACGAGATATAACTGAGTCTGATGGGGAATTACTAGGAGGAAACTGTTAACATTTAAATAGCGAAACAGTTACTTAACCAAAATATAAGTAGTAAACCAGTTATTTAATTACAGTACAGAAAAATAACCCCCAAAGCATTAGAAAATTCTGCCCTCAGCATATGCGAATTTCCAGCTGTGGCTCAAATATAATTGACTCATGAACAACACAGATTTGGGCTGCATGGTCCACTTTTATAAAATTTGAGATTTTTCGATTTAAAAAAATCCACTTATAAGCAAACCTGCACAATGCAAACCCACGCTGTTCGAGGGTCTACTGTATTTTCTTGGCTGCTAGCCTGCCCTCTTCCCTCTTCCCTGCTGAAGTAACTTTATAAAGCTAAGTGGAGGGTCGGATGAGCTCTGGAGAGGAATGTGCTGGACCATGTGTTGGCCTCTCTTTCCTTACTCTCCTGGATTCTTTGCCCTTTGCTTATGGCTGTGTAGTTCTTTTTAATTCCTGTTTCCCTAAAGTGGTTCCTTTAGTTCGATTCTGTATCTAACTGATAACTTACTATATGTATATAATAAGTGGATGGATATCAATTGGTGCATTTGGGAAAAAAGGGATTAAAATAAAATAGATTTGAAAATACTATAGATAATTCAACATATTTAAAGGAGTTTTAAATTTGAAATTTTATTTAGATGTGATTTTAATTAGAATCAAATTTTGTATGAGCTTCCATATTCCCAATGAATCTTTCATAGCTTCTGAGTTGATTCTTACTGTAATTCTTAATAATTATGCTGATAGTTATTATTTAACTACTTTTTTTATCCTCACCTGAGGATATGCATGTGTATGTGTGTGGGTGCGTGCGCGCGCGCGCACGCGTGCATGTATTTTAATTGATCTAAGAGAGAGAGGAAGGGAGAGAGAGAAACAACAATGTGAGAGAAACATCGATCAGGTGCCTCCTGTACATGCCCTAACCAAGAATTGAACCCACAAACTTTTGATGTACAGGACGATGCTCCAATCAACTGAGCCACCCAGCTGGGGCAGTGGGTACTATTTTAATGGTCATTACTATCAGACCAAAAAATAGTACAGTTTGGTATTACAAAACATTAGAGTAGGATTTCCAGATAAGGTGATGTGAAGTGTCTGAGAGGTATTATCCTGGATTCCAGAATTCCACTTTTTACATATCAGTGATTGTTGTGATACAGAGACACACATCCAGAGACTTGAAGTCTTTTTCCTCCCAAAGGTAAAAAGTCACTTCAATAAAGTGAAAGGAATGCTATCCCTAAAACAGTTACAGAATAATATCATGAATGCTCACGTGAAACACTTGTGTATTTTGACAGCCCCCTCAATTCTCATTTGTAGAAATTGAAACAGTTTTAATTTTTTTACTTTTCAGTCTCACTTTATCTCTGCACTGACAGTTGTGTTTGTAAACTCCAAGTCCTTGTCCTCGCTTAAGATCGATGATACCCCAGTAGATGATCCATCCCTCAAAGTATTAGTGGCCAACAACAGTGATACGCTGAAGCTGCTCAAAATGAGTAGCTGTCCTCACGTGTCTCCAGCAGGTATGTTGTGTTTCTGCCATATAACATTGTAGTAAAATGTATTGATATGTTTATCAAAATAAGAAAAACTATGATCACTAATCTCGAAGGTGGATTAATATATTTCATTACTTTACATAAAAATGTTTTTCATGTCACAATAAATAGCATAAATTCTGTAGCATTGACATATAAAACTCATTTTCTAATTGTATTTGGCAATCTGTGTCCAACCTGTGTTAGAAAATGGATAAATTAAAAAATGAAAGGACAAGGTGAGTCTTGCCTAAGGTGCCCCTTAGGTAAAATAGAACTTTCTCTAATTGTAGTTGAGCTAGCAGGGTAGGTTTTGAGTCAGTGTATTCTCATTATTGCTTTTCTTCTCATTATGTAGAGGGAGAAGAGTTGTGCTGAAGTTGTTGCCTTATATTTTGCAAGATGATGCTTTTCTTAAGTTGAATTTTGGAGCTAAGAGTCCCTTCAGATGGGGAAAGAGCATTACCAAATCTCTTTCCAGCTCCCCTTACATAGATTTAAACATTCAGTATTATTCAGTTTGATATAATTTAAATGTCAAATGGTTTGTAAAGTAAATATAAACCCATACTTAGTATTACTCTCTGATGCTTCACTCCTGACTCAACTTTCCACTATTGAATTTCCTCCCAACCCTTTGGCTGTGTTATGTGGGAAACCTGTTTTTACAGGACAGTGTTAAATCCTTGAACTCCTTACAGAACATTTCCTATCTTCATGCCATAACTAAATCTGGTTTTCCTCTAAGAAAATGAATTCCTCTTGGTGGAGGCTACTTGCTCACTCTCTCTTGCCTCCCTACGCAGAGGGTCTTGGTGGTGAGAATGGCTAGGTCTCTTGCAATACAGTGGGCCTTCCATACCCATAGGATCCGCATCCATGGATTCAACCAGCTATGGATTGAAAATGACAATTTGTTGGTGGTGGTGGTGGTGTATGTACCATGTAGTTAGGCCTATGATGGTTGCATCTGTATTGAACATGTGCAGACTTTTTTTTTTGGTCATTATTCCCTAAACAATACAGACTAGTAACTACACAGGCATTAGATTGTATTAAGTACTGTAAGTAGAGACAAATTATAAGGAAGGATGTGCATAAGTTATAAGTAAACACTACGCATTTTTAAAGAGTTTATTTATTTATTTTTAGAGAAGGGGAGAGAAGGAGACAGGGAGAGAAATGTGAGATTTGCCCCTCAGACGCCCCCAACCGGGGACCTAGCCTGCAACCCAGGCATGTGCCCAGACTGAGAATTGAACTGGCAACCTCTTGGTTTGCAGGCTGGTGCTCAATCTACTAAGCCACACCAGCCAGGGCCCAGACACTACACATGTTATATAAGGGACTTGAGCATCCGTGGATTTTGGTTTCAGCACGGGAGAGTAGGACAGGACCAGTGCTTTTATATGTGTGTCATCAGTACACTGTGCCTGGTGGAATACCTTTTTTTCGCATTTTGTCTGCATAACTCCAGCTCAGCTTTCAAAATTCAGCTCAGGTGTTCTGGTTTCATTCTTGTTTCCTCCTCTTCTCTGTTTAGATACCCTACTGCTTACATAGCACTCTGAATATAACTTGGAGCCCTTGAGAGCCTGTGGGCCTCTGGTTACTCATGAGACTGAGCTTGTTCTTCTCTTTATCCCTGTACGTCTGATGTTCATTTATTTTTATTAAATATACACATCAGTTCTGATAGCATGGTACAAGCTTGCTTGGTTTAACCTACAGACTTTCGGACTAGTTGTTCAGGAAGGGAAGGGAGGAAAAGAAGTGCTTGTAATACTTTTTAATTTAAGAGTATAACCATAGAGGACTTTAATTTAAAATTTAACATATTTGTGTATTTTCTTTCTATCCATATTTTGCACTTTTGGACAATTTCTCTAAGTTGAAATTACAGGATATTTTCTATTCTGCTTTCTTCATGGAACATATTAAACTTCTTTGCCATTTCATATAGTCCTTATAATTGTCTATTACTGGACCTCTAGGCACCAAGATTTGGGTCTTGGTTCTTTGATATTATATTCTGGATTTTTCTCCTTCCGCTCTGATTGCTCCTACTCTGTTTTCTTTGCTGGTTTTTGTTTTTGTTCCTTAAATTTTGATGTTTCACTGTGTTCTGTATTGGGTCCTTTTTTTTTTTTTTTTTTTTTTAAACTGTGTAAACTCTGGGCTCTGTCATCACCTGGAGCTTCACTTATATTTTGTATGTTAATACCTCCTACTTTTGGTGTCTCCAGAGCTCTAGGGTTGTGTGTTGAGTTGCCAAAGGCCCAGGGCCTCTAGAATGTCTCACAGGTACGTCAGACAAATGAACTTCCTTTTCCCTCATCGAGGTCTCTTGCTTTCCCTTTTTCACTATTTCATTGAATGGTGCCATCCACCTAGTTATAAGGGGACCTGATAGAAGGCATCAATTCCTACTACCCTCACTTTCTACATTCCTTCAGTCATTGAGGTCTGGTGACCTCATCACTGAAATAGGCCTTGAATCTCTATGATGCTGTAGAATGAATGTTTGTGCCACGCCCCCTGCCAAATCCATGTGTTGAAGCCCTAATACCCAATGTGTTGATATTTGGAGGTGGGTTGGGAGGTAATTAAGTCATGAGAGTGAAGCCCTCCTAAATAACAGTAGTGTCCTTATAGAAGGGACAGAAGAGTAGGGAGAGTTCTGGCCCTTGCCCAAACCTGACCATGCTGGCACCATGATCTTGAACTTGTAGCCCCCAGGACTTGAAGAAATAGATGTTTATTTTTTAAGCCACTCAGTTCTGTTGAGTAGCCCAAACTAACTAGGACAGTGTGCCTGTGTTCATCTCTGCTCTTACTACTCTAGTCCAGGCCCCTGCAATCTTTGTGCTGTACCCTCAGCTGATTGACTTGTAGTCTTGCTCTTCTCCAACCTGACTTCCTTGTTACAGCCAGAGTAATCTTTCTAAAATATAAATCTGATTTTTTTTTCCTCTCCAGTTTCTTTCAAACATTTTTACGGTGCTTGAGATAAGATCCAGACTCCTCACTGAGGCTGGCAAGATCCCTATGATCTGGTCCTTGCCTGTCCGATGGGCTTCATCTTTTA